GAAAAGAATACAAAAAAATATAGAATAGAATGAATGTAGCCGTCTTCGGAATTTTGAATAGAATAGACTAAAACAGAACAGAGTAGAAAAAATATAGAATAGAATAGAATGAATAGATAGCCGTCTTCCAAAATTTGAATTGCAAAAAGCATAGAATAGATAATAAAGGAATAGAATAAAAAAAATCAAAGAATAGGAAAGAATAGAATAGAATAGAATAGAATATCGTCATCTTTCGAAATTTGCGTTAAATTCGAGATTATTTCTTTTCATCTGGTTTTGTCTCTCACACAGTCCTCGTTTTTTTTTCCCCCTTGGTGGGGTAATGGGTGGGGCCATGGGGTGCAGCGGGGGTGATATGGGGGGGAACGGGAGGAGGACGGCGACAATTTGGATCCATGAAGGGTGATCTGGGGGGAACAGGAGAGGACGGCGACAATCCGGATCCATGGTGGACGATCTGGGGGGAACGGGGAGAGGACGGCGACAATCCGGATCCATGGAGGGCGATCTGGGGGGGGGGGAACGGGAGAGGACAGCCACAATCCGGATCCATGGAGGGCAATCCGGATCTGTGGAGGGCGATCTGGGGGGAACGGGAGAGGACGGTGACAATCCGGATCTGTGGAGGGCGATCTGGGGGGAACAGGAGAGGACGGTGACAATCCGGATCCGTGGAGGGGACAATCCGGATCTGTGGAGGGCGATCTGTGGGGGAATCTGGGGGGAACGGGAGAGGATAGCCACAATCCGGATCCATGGAGGGCAATCCGGGGGGAACGGGAGAGGAGGGAGACAATCTGGATCCATGGAGGGCAATCCGGGGGGAACGAGAGGAGGGAGACAATCTGGATCCATGGAGGGCAATCCGGGGGGGAACGGGAGAGGAGGGAGACAATCTGGATCCATGGAGGGCAATCCGGGGGAACGGGAGGAGGGAGACAATCTGGATCCATGGAGGGCAATCCGGGGGGAACGGGAGAGGAGGGAGACAATCTGGATCCGTGGAGGGCGATCCATGGAGGGGCGACAATCCGGATCCGTGGGGGGGGGGGAACGGGGGGGGAGAGGACGGCGACAATCCGGATCCGTGGAGGGCGATCCGGGGGGAACGGGGAGGACGGCGACAATCTGGATCCGTGGAGGGCGATCCGGGGGGAACGGGAGAGGACGGCGACAATCCGGATCCGTGGAGGGCGATCCGGGGGGAACGGGAGAGGACGGCGACAATCCGGATCCGTGGAGGGCGATCCGGGGGGGGGGAACGGGAGAGGACGGCGACAATCCGGATCCGTGGAGGGCGATCCGGGGGGGAACGGGGGAGAGGACGGCGACAATCCGGATCCGTGGAGGGCGATCCTGGGAGGGGGGGGGGGAACGGGAGAGGACGGCGACAATCTGGATCCCTGGAGGGCGATCCGGGGGGCGGGGGAGAGGACGGTGACAATCCGGATCCGTGGAGGGCGATCCGGGGGGAACGGGAGAGGACGGCGACAACCCGGATCCATCGAGGATGATCCGGGGGGGGGGGGAACGGGACGGGAGGACGGCGACAATCCGGATCCGTGGAGGGCAATCCGGGGGGAACGGGAGAGGACGGCGACAATTCGGATCCGTGGAGGGTGATTCGGGGGGGAACGGGAGAGGACGGCGACAATCCGGATCCATGGAGGGCGATCCGGGGGGAACGGGAGAGGACGGCGACAATTCGGATCCATGGAGGGAGATCCCCGGGGAGGGCGATGGGAGAGGACGGCGACAATCCGGATCCATGGGGGAACTGGGGGGACGGGAGGACGGCGACAATCCGGATCCGTTGATTGCGATCCGGGGGGAACTGGAGAGGACGGCGACAATCCGGATCCATGGAGGGCGATCCGGGGGGAACGGGAGAGGACGGCGACAATCCGGATCCGTGGAGGGCGATCCGGGGGGAACGGGGAGAGGACGGCGACATTCCGGATCCATGGAGGGCGACCGGGAGCGGTTTATAACGGATGGCAAGGAGGAGATCAGGGCGTGGCTTTGTGGTAAGTCGATTGCCCCTCCCCTTTCATCCAACCCCCCCCCCACCCAGCATGTCAGAAATGAAATGGTTAATATCTCAGGGCGGATCCCCTCCCCCCATCGCAGATTTGACGCGCTGAGTGAGAAGAGATGATCATTTACAGGCTGAGATGACAAATGAAGGTCAAACCGCCAGAAGGCGATCGTTCTAAAAATGTCGTTCTGCGATCAGCGGAGTTTCCAACATAATTCCAACCCGACCGACCGGACCGACAACTTCTGACAACTTCACCTTCTGACAACCCCGGCCCCCGATACCCGGGGGGGGGCATTATAGGACGTATTGGGGGTGTTATGGGCGGGGTGTATCGGTCGGTGGTCATAGATCGTCCTCTATGTGTCGGGATCGCTCTGCGTGCAGCAGATGGGGGGGGGGGGTAGTCTGGCTCACACGGTGGGATGAATGGCGCAGTGGGCGGGGTCAGTGCCACATCGTGATCTCTGTTGATTGTAAGCTCTTCTTCAAACACTTGGGACAGATTTTTTTTCTGGTGACCCCAGACCGGCAGGAAGGTAGGTACCCCCGGGTGTCCATGGTGTCACCCGCAGGACTCGTTCCATGGGGACGCGAAGCCTTCCAATCACCAACAGTCGCCCCTCTGCTGAAAATGGCAATTTTTTAATTTTTTTTTTTTCTTCTCGATATTCATTTATAAAGCGTTTGCATCGCCATGTATCCGGTAAAAGTGCCCAAACGTTCGTTCCGTGAGAATCGGGCAAAAAAAAAACGACTGTGAATCGGCCACAGCCGCGCTGATCGAAGGTCGGCCATTCATTTAAAATGGCAAATCCCACATTTGGCCACTAGAGGGAGCCAAGTATCATAGACGGTTCCAGCTCCATCTAGTGGCCATATGCAGCATTTTCCTCCCATGTACAGAGGCGTCCTGCCCCCCCCCCCCAGTATGCTGAGACTTGTAGTTCCTCCGTGTCAGCGCTCTGTACCCACCGAACCCCACATTGTCCTGACATTGTCACCCACCTCTTCCTCCAAGGCCTTGTACCCCCCCCCCCCCCCCCATGGAGTAACGGCCAACTTTTTCCATCCACACAGCCGAGAATACTTTATGATGTTTGTCTAGAAGCAGTTTGCATGGTCATGCGCCCAGTGAAAGCGCCCAAAGCTTCCTTCTCTGTGATTGGGGCAAAGAGTCCAATGTAGGCGGTCTGCGTCCAGAGCAACAGAAAATACCACATTCAGCCACTAGGGGGAGCGAAGTATATCAGATATCCATGATTGCAAGGGGGGCTGTGATATGTGGGAGGGGACATTAGAGCGTAAGCTCCTCTGTACAGAGACTGATGGGACTGTGGGGGAGGGGACATTAGAGCGTAAGCTCCTCTGGTACAGAGACTGATGGGACTGTGGGGGAGGGGACATTAGAGTGTAAGCTCCTCTGTACAGAGACTGATGGGACTGTGGGGGAGGGGACATTAGAGCGTAAGCTCCTCTGGTACGGGAGACTGATGGGACTGTGGGGGAGGGGACAGTAGAGTGTAAGCTCCTCTGGTACGGAGACTGATGGGACTGTGGGGGAGGGGACAATAGAGCGTAAGCTCCTCTGGTACGGAGACTGATGGGACTGTGGGGGAGGGGGACAGTAGAGTGTAAGCTCCTCTGGTACAGAGACTGATGGGACTGTGGGGGAGGGGACATTAGAGCGTAAGCTCCTCTGTACAGACTGATGGGACTGTGGGGGAGGGGACATTAGAGTGTAAGCTCCTCTGTACAGAGACTGATGTGACTGTGGGGGAGGGGACATTAGAGTGTAAGCTCCTCTGTACAGACTGATGTGACTGTGGGGGAGGGGACATTAGAGTGTAAGCTCCTCTGTACAGGACTGATGTGAATGTGGGGGAGGGGACATTAGAGTGTAAGCTCCTCTGTACAGACTGATGGGACTGTGGGGGAGGGGACATTAGAGTGTAAGCTCCTCTGGTGCAGAGACTGATGTGACTGTGGGGGAGGGGACATTAGAGTGTAAGCTCCTCTGTACAGACTGATGTGAATGTGGGGGAGGGGACATTAGAGTGTAAGCTCCTCTGTACAGACTGATGGGACTGGGGGGGAGGGGACATTAGAGTGTAAGCTCCTCTGTACAGACTGATGGGACTGTGGGGGAGGGGACATTAGAGTGTAAGCTCCTCTGTACAGACTGATGTGAATGTGGGGGAGGGGACATTAGAGTGTAAGCTCCTCTGTACAGACTGATGGGACTGTGGGGGAGGGGACATTAGAGTGTAAGCTCCTCTGTACAGACTGATGGGACTGTGGGGGAGGGGACATTAGAGTGTAAGCTCCTCTGTGGTCAATGTCAGAAACATAAAATCTCGGAAGCGTTACGTTTTTAAACAAAATATAAAATAAAATCAGCTTTATTCGCACACAACAACATTAGACGCCACAAAATCACATCTACGGCACAAAATAACATCTTTGTATAAACTCAGTCGGTGATTGGCCGGTGCAGAGATTCGGGGGGGCACCTGGACAGCCCACAAATCAGGATCTGGTGGTTCTGCCACCCTTCTGGAAGCCATCGATGGCGTACAAGAAGGGCGGGGGGGGGTGAAAGTGCTGAACCGGCCGGGGGGGGGGGGGGGTACTAAAATCCAGCCATAAATGAGATGGAGGAGGTTCAGGATTTGTAATCCATGTTCCCCCTTTCTGATTGGTCGCCGCGATCCCCCCCATACAGAGCGGAGGGGGGCAGACGACTGAGGAGGGGTATACAGAGATGAGTATATAGCACATGGATACAGGTGGTGAGGATGGGGCGCCCCCTCCTGGACGTTGTTACTTGGCTCATAATACAAAGTGAGGGATTCTGGGAATCCGAGGCGCGTTCTTTGTTCTCCTCCCTCGATGTGCGCGGGGCGCCCCCCGCTGGATGCAGGAGGCATGGCGCTTTTTTTTGGAAGGGGGGGGGGTGCTAGGGTCGTTCCTGGCACTGCATGGCCATCTGTTGGCTCAGCTTCCTGGCGATCTCCCCAATCAAAGTCCAATATTCGTCAAAGCTGATCTTCCCGTCCTCGTCCGTGTCCAGCGATTGGATCAGCTTGTTGGAGGCTTCCTTGTTCTGTGTATTCTGAGGGGGGAAACGGGAGAACGTTTAGGGGTCTGAACAAAAAAAAAACGCACAGCCCTTTGTCTGGTGAACCTTCATTTACATTCGATCTGCGTGAAGAACGAACGTTCCTCAGACTATATCCCCTTCTGGTCGAAGGTCTCTTTAATTATGGAGCTTGGTGCAATACCGCATTATGGCCAGTAGGTGGCGAGGCTGAGGAGCACAGGGAATACATAGCTGTCTATCAGGACGGATACAATGTAACAATTCTGGGAACACTCGAGGGAAGGACACAATGTAACAATTCTGGGAACACTCGAGGGAAGGACACAATGTAACAATTCTGGGGAACACTCGAGGGGAAGGACACAATGTAACAATTCTGGGAACACTCGAGGGAAGGACACAATGTAACAATTCTGGGAACACTCGAGGGAAGGATACAATGTAACAATTCTGGGAACACTCCAGGGAAGGACACAATGTTACAATTCTGGGAACACTCGAGGGAAGGACACAATGTAACAATTCTGGGAACACTCGAGGGAAGGACACAATGTAACAATTCTGGGAACACTCGAGGGAAGGACACAATGTAACAATTCTGGGAACACTCCAGGGAAGGACACAATGTTACAATTCTGGGAACACTCGAGGGAAGGACACAATGTAACAATTCTGGGAACACTCGAGGGAAGGACACAATGTAACAATTCTGGGAACACTCGAGGGAAGGACACAATGTAACAATTCTGGGAACACTCGAGGGAAGGATACAATGTAACAATTCTGGGAAACACTCCAGGGGAAGGATACAATGTAACAATTCTGGGAACACTCGAGGGAAGGACACAATGTAACAATTCTGGGAACACTCGAGGGAAGGACACAAATGTAACAATTCTGGGAACACTCGAGGGAAGGACACAATGTAACAATTCTGGGAACACTCGAGGGGAAGGACACAATGTAACAATTCTGGGAACACTCCAGGGAAGGATACAATGTAACAATTCTGGGAACACTCCAGGGAAGGACACAATGTAACAATTCTGGGAACACTCGAGGGAAGGATACAATGTAACAATTCTGGGAACACTCGAGGGAAGGGACACAATAAATGTAACAATTCTGGGAACACTCGAGGGAAGGACACAATGTAACAATTCTGGGAACACTCCAGGGAAGGACACAATGTAACAATTCTGGGAACACTCGAGGGAAGGACACAATGTAACAATTCTGGGAACACTCCAGGGAAGGACACAATGTAACAATTCTGGGAACACTCGAGGGAAGGATACAATGTAACAATTTTGGGAACACTCGAGGGAAGGATACAATGTAACAATTCTGGGAACACTCGAGGGAAGGATACAATGTAACAATTCTGGGAACACTCGAGGGAAGGGATACAATGTAACAATTCTGGGAACACTCGAGGGAAGGACACAATGTAACAATTCTGGGAACACTCGAGGGGAAGGATACAATGTAACAATTCTGGGAACACTCGAGGGAAGGATACAATGTAACAATTCTGGGAACACTCGAGGGAAGGATACAATGTAACAATTCTGGGAACACTCGAGGGAAGGATACAATGTAACAATGGTTAATTCTGGGAACACTCCAGGGAAGGACACAATGTAACAATTCTGGGAACACTCGAGGGAAGGATACAATGTAACAATTCTGGGAACACTCGAGGGAAGGACACAATGTAACAATTCTGGGCAAAACACTCCAGGGAAGGATACAATGTAACAATTCTGGGAACACTCCAGGGAAAGGATACAATGTAACAATTCTGGGAACACTCCAGGGAAGGATACAATGTAACAATTCTGGGAACACTCGAGGGAAGGATACAATGTAACAATTCTGGGAACACTCCAGGGAAGGACACAATGTAACAATTCTGGGAACACTCGAGGGAAGGACACAATGTAACAATTCTGGGAACACTCGAGGGAAGGACACAATGTAACAATTCTGGGAACACTCAGGGAAGGATACAATGTAACAATTCTGGGAACACTCCAGGGAAGGACACAATGTAACAATTCTGGGAACACTCGAGGGAAGGATACAATGTAACAATTCTGGGAACACTCGAGGGAAGGACACAATAAATGTAACAATTCTGGGAACACTCCAGGGAAGGACACAATGTAACAATTCTGGGAACACTCGAGGGAAGGACACAATGTAAACAATTCTGGGAACACTCCAGGGAAGGACACAATGTAACAATTTGGGAACACTCGAGGGAAGGATTACAGAATTGTTACATTTAATGGTTACATTTGTTGGACAATTTCCTGTCCTCCTATCTATATTTTTGAAGACGGATTCCCCCAGGACCTTCAGCCAATCCATCTTCGTTTTTAGACGGATAGGGGAGGGGCAGGGGCGGACTGACCATTCAAACACTCGGGCAATGCCGAGGGCCCGGGGTCAGTAGGGGGCCCCATGAGATGCCCCTGGTACCTTTTTCATAGGCTTTTTTGAGATTGGGCAAGGACACAGGGGCCCCATGATCCCCTATTGCCCGGGGGCCCCATGAGTTGTCAGTCTGTCCCTGGGGAGGGGTTTGAAATTCTGGCCGGGGTTGATTTGTTATCCGTGACTCCGTCGGGAAGATTTCCTCTCTGCTTCCTGTTCCCGTGACACCAAGACAGGAAGTGAGAGGAAAATGGTGTCACCCTGGGGGAAGAAAGATGCTGACAGCAAATAAAATCAGACTAAGGACATCTCCTCACTCTGCGAATGTTAAAAAAAAAAAAAATATAATTTTTCTGTCCCCACTGGTAAATTTTTCTTCACTTCCTGTTTCAGTGACACCAAGACAGGAAGTGAGAGGAAAATGGTGTCACCTGGGAGAAAGATGCTGACAGCTAATAAAATCAGACTAAGGACATCTCCTCGCTCTGCGAATGTTAAAAGAACAAAAAAAAAAAGTTTTTTTTTCTGGTGAATTTTTCTTCACTTCCTGTTTCAGTGACACCGAAGACAGGAAGTGAGAGGAAAAGGTGTCACCTGGGCAGAAAGATGCTGACAGCAAAATAAAAAGCAGACCAAGGACATCTCCTCGCTCTGCTAATGTTAAAAGAAAAAAAAAAGTCTACCATAAAAAAAAAGAAAAAGTTTTTTTTCTCTGTCCCAACTGGAGAAGCTTTCCTTGCTTCCTGTTCTGGGTGACACCAGGGCAGGAAGTGAGAGGAATGGGGTCACCGGGGGCAGAAAGATGAGGGGAAAAAAAAAAAAAAAAAACATGTAAATTTCCTTGTTCTACTAAAAAAAAAAGTTTCTTCAATCTGTCCCTATCGCGCAACTTTTCCTTGCTTCCTGTTCCGGTGACACCAGGGCAGGAAAGTGCGAGGAAAATGGTGTCACCTGGGAAGAAAGATGCTGACTGCAAATAAAATCAGACTAAGGACATCTCCTACGCTCTGCTAATGTTAAAAAAGAAAAGAAAAAAAAATTTTCTGTCCCCACTGGTGAATTTTTCTTCACTTCCTGTTTCAGTGACACCAAGACAAAAAGTGAGAGGAAAAAGTGTCACCTGGGCAGAAAGATGCTGACAGCAAAAAAAAAAAAGCAGAACTAAGGACATCTCCTCGCTCTGCTAATGTTAAAAGAAAAAGAAAAAAAAGTTTATATTTTTCTGGTGAATTTTTCTTCACTTCCTGTTTCAGTGACACCAGGACAGGAAGAGGAAAAGGGGATACCGGGGGAGAAAGATGCTGACAACAATGAAAACACCAGACAAAGGGTCTAACATTTTTCACGCTCTACCATACAAAAAAAAATATAGTTTTTTCTCTGTCCCAACTGGAGAAGCTTTCCTTGCTTCCTGTTCCGGTGACCCCAGGGCAGGAAGTGAGAGGAATGGGGTCACCGGGGCTGATGACGGGGGAAAAAAAATCTAACATTTCCTTGCTCTACTAAAAAAAAAAAAAAAAAAGTTCCTTAATATTGTCCCTATCATGGAAATTTTCCTCGCTTCCTCTTCTGGTGACACCAGGACAGGAAGTGAGAAGAATGGGGTCACCAGGGCAGAAAGATGACGACGGGAGAAAAAAAAAACATCTAACATTTCCTGACTCTACTATAAAAGAAAGTTCCTTAATCTGTCCCTATCGTGGAAATTTTTCCTCACTTCCTGTGTCAGTGACACCAGGGCAGGAATTGAGAGGAATGGAGTCACCGGGGCAGAAAGATGACGAACAGAGAACACAGAAAAAAAAAAACAAACCATCTAACATTTCCTTGCGCTACTAAAAAAAAAGTTCCTTAATCTGCCCCTATCGTGGAAATTTTTCCTTGCTTCCTGTTTCGGTGACACCAGGGCAGGAAGTGAGAGGAATTGGGGTCACGGGGGCAGAAAGAAAGATGATGATGGAAAAAAAAAAAAAAAAAAACCATCTAACATTTCCTTGCGCTACAAAAAAGGGAAAGTTCCTTAATCTGTCCCGATCACGGAAATTTTCTCGCTTCCTGTTTCGGTGACACCAGGGCAGGAAGTGAGAGGTAATGGGGTCACCGGGGCAGAAAGCTGCTGAGAGCAGATTATAAAATACTAGACAAAGGGTGTACCATTTCCTCTATAGAAAGCATGAGAGCGCCACAAGTATGAGCCCAGGAAATCCCTACTGCACATGGTGGGCGTGCCAATAAAGACCCCAACGCGCGTTTTGGGGGCTCGGGGCTCCTTCTTCAGGGCAAAGTGCCATATAGAAGGGTACACATCCCATCGATTGGGGTCACATGACCACAAAATTTTTTGTGTCTGGTATTCTTTTCCAATTCTTCCAGCACTTGAGCCCTGATGGAGGAGTTCTGCGCCCCCGAAACGCGTTGGCTGTCGTTTGTTCCCATCTCTCACCGTGTGCAATAAAGACCCCTCTATACTCCTCACAATACTTCTGGGATCCCAGAGATACCCCCATTACGTCCAACACTTGAGCCCCGATGAAGTTCTGAGCCCCGAAACGCGGTTGGTGTGTTTTTTTAACCTGTCGTCGTGGCATCAAAGACTTACCGGGCTTATATTAATCTTAAGGCACCCTCATCCCTTCTATACTCTTCACATTACTCTGGAGACCCCAGAAATACCCAAGATACCCCAATACTTCCAGCACTTTGAGCCCCTGATGAAGTTCTGAGCCCCCGAAACGCGGTTGGATGTCCTTATTACGCATGATGGGAGGTCAAATATGACTCACAGGGACCCGTACTAAACTTATGGCATCCTCATCCCCTCTTATACTCCTCACAATACTACGGGGATCCCCAGAAGATACCCCCATTACTTCCGGCACTTGAGCCCTGATGAAGTTCTGAGCCCCCGAAACGCGTCGGTGGCCTTATTACGCATGATGGGAGGTCAAATACGACTCACAGGGACCGTACTAAACTTATGGCACCCTCATCCCCTCTATACTCCTCACAAATACTTCGGGGATCCCCAGAGATACCCATTACTTCCGACACTTGAGCCCTGATGAAGGCGTTCTGAGCCTCTGAAACGCGTTGGAGGGCTTTTTTCCTGTCCCACCATGTGGTATAAAGACTTACCAGACTCATATTAAACGTTATGGCACCCTCATCACTTCTATATACTTTTCACATTACTCTGGAGACCCCCAGAAAAAAACCCCAAAATACCCACAATACTTCAAGCGCTTGAGCCCTGATGAAGTTATTGAGCCCCTGAAACGCGTCGGATGTCCTTATTACGCATGATGAGAGGTCAAATATGACTCACAGGGCCCATACTAAACTTATGGCATCCTCATTTTCCTCTATACTTCTCACAATACTAGGGGGATCCCCAGAGATACCCCATTACTTCCAGCACTTGAGCCCTGATAAAGGAGTTCCGAGCCCCCCGAAACGCGTTGGAGGGCTTTTTCTCCTGTCTCACCATGTGGTATAAAGACTTACCAGACTCATATTAAAAGTATGGCACCCTCACCCTTCTATACTCTTCAAATTACTCTGGAGACCCCCAGAAAAATACCCCAAGATTCCCCAATACCTCCAACACTTGAGCCCTGATGAGGTTCTGAGCCCCCGAAACGCGTCGGGTGTCCTTATTACGCATGATGAGAGGTCGAATAACACTCACAGGCACCATACTAAACTTATGGCACCCTCACCCCCTCTATACTCCTCACAATACTTCGGGGATCCCCAGAGATACCCCCATTACTTCCAACACTTGAGCCCTGATGAAGTTCTGAGCCCCCGAAACGCGTTGGTGTGTTTTTTTTTTTAACCTCTCCTCGTGTCCATCAAAGACTTACCGGGCTTATACTAATCTTATGGCACCCTCATCACTTCTATACTCTTCACATTACTCTGGAGACCCCAGAAATACCCCGAGATACCCCAATACTTCCAGCACTTGAGCCCTGATGAAGTTCTGAGCCCCGAAATGCGTCAGTTGTCCTTATTACGCATAAATGAGAGGTCATATAAGACTCAAGGGGCCCGTACTAAACTTATGGCATCCTCATCCCCTCTATACGCCTCACAATACTATGGGGATCCCCAGAGATACCCCCATTACTTCCGGCACTTGAGCCCTGATGAAGGCGTTCTGAGCCTCCGAAACGCGTTGGGGGCTTTTTCTCCTGTCTCACCATGTGGTATAAAGACTTACCAGACTCATATTAAAAGTATGGCACCCTCATCCTTCTATACTCTTCAAATTACTCTGGAGACCCCAGAAATACCCCAAGATTCCCCAATACCTCCAACACTTGAGCCCTGATGAGGTTCTGAACCCCCGAAACGCGTCGGGTGTCCTTATTACGCATGATGAGAGGTCGAATAACACTCACAGGGACCGTACTAAACTTATGGCACCCTCACCCCTCTATACTCCTCACAACACTTCGGGGATCCCCAGAGATACCCCCATTACTTCCAACACTTGAGCCCTGATGAAGTTCTGAGCCCCCGAAACGCGTTGGTAGGGTGTTTTTTAAACCTCTCCTCGTGTCCATCAAAGACTTACCGGGCTTATACTAATCTTATGGCACCCTCATCACTTCTATACTCTTCACATTACTCTGGAGACCCCAGAAATACCCGAGATACCCCAATACTTCCTGCACTTGAGCCCTGATGAAGGCGTTCTGAGCCTCCGAAACGCGTTGGAGGGCTTTTCTCCTGTCTCACCATGTGGTATAAAGACTTACCAGACTCATATTAAACATATGGCACCCTCATCCCTTCTATACTCTTCAAATTGCTTGAGACCCCCAGAGACACCCCAATACTTCCAGCACTTGAGCCCTGATAAAGAAGTTCCGAGCCCCCGAAAACGCGTTGGTTGTCCTATTAGACCTCTCACCATGTGAAATCATGACTCAATGGGCTCATACTAGACCTATGGCACCCTCACCCCTTCTACACTCTCCACATTACTACAGGGACCCCCAGAGATACCCTAAGATACCCCATTATGTGCAGCACTTAAGCCCTCATGAAGGAGTTCTGAGACCCCCGAAACGCGCGTTGGTGTCTTTTTTTTTTTTTTAAATTCCCATCATGTGTAACAGAGACTTACTGGACTCATACTAAAGTTATAGCATTCCTGTCCCTTGTGTGCGCCTCGGATTCATTTGGAAAACCCCAAAAATAACCCAAGATACCCCATTACTTCCAGCGCTCGAGCCCTGATGAGGGAGTTCTGAGCCCCCAAAACGCGTTGGATGTCTTATTTGACCTCTCGCCATGTGTAATAAAGACTTAGAGGATTGATACTAAACTCATGGCACCCTCAACCCTTCTTTACGCTCACAATACCCCAGGGACCCCCAGAGATACCCCAATACTTCCAGCACTTGAGCCCTGAGGAAGGAGTTCCGAGCCCCCGAAACGCGTTGGTGGTCTTTTCTCCTGTTTCACCATGTGCTATAAAGACTTACCAGACTCATACTAAACGTAAGGCACCCTCATCCCTTCTATACTCTTCAAATTGCTCGAGACCCTCAGAGGCACCCCAATACTTCCAGCACTTGAGCACTGATGAAGGAGTTCTGAACCCCCCAAAACGCGTTGGTGTGTTTTTTTAAACCTCTCGTCATGTGCAATAAAGACTTCCTGAGCTCATTCTAAACTTACGGCACCCTCATCACTTCTATATTCTTCACATTACTTTGGAGACCCCCAGAAATACCCCAATACTTCCAGCACTTGAGCCCCGATGAAGGAGTTCTGAGCCCCCGAAACGCGTTGGAAATCTTATTTGATCTCTAAGTGAAGACTTACTGGACTCTTACGAGACTTATGGTGCCCTTACCCCTTCTATACTCCTCACAATACCCCAGAGACACCCCAATACTTTCAGCACTTGAGCCCTGGTGAAGGAGTTCTGAGCCCCCGAAACGCGTTGGATGTCTTATTTGACCTCTCGCCATGTGCAGTGAAGACTTACTGGACTCATAGTAGACTTATGGCGCCCTCATCCCCTTCCATACTCTTCTCATTATTCTGAAGACCCCCAGAGACACCCCAATACTTCCAGCGCCTAAACCCTGGTGGAGTTCTGAGCCGCCGAAACGCGTTGGACATCTTCCTTGCCCTTTCGCCATGTGCAATAAAGACTTACTGGACTCATACTAGACTTATGGCGCCCTCACCCCTTCTATACTCCTCACAATACCCCAGGGACCCCCAAAATACTTTCAGCACTTGAGCCCTGGTGAAGGAGTTCCGAGCCCCAGAAACGCGTTGGACATCTTACTTGCCCTCTGGCCGTGTGCAGTGAAGACTTACTGGACTCATAGTAGACTTATGGTGCCCTCACCCCCTTCTATACTCTTCTCATTATTCTGAAGACCCCAGAGACACCCCAATACTTCCAGCGCCTAAACCCTGGTGAAGGCGTTCTGAGCCGCCGAAACGCGTTGGACGTCTTATATGACCTCTCGCCGTGTGCAGTAAAGACTCACTGGACTCATACTAGACTTATGGCACCCTCACCCCCGCAGATTACTCCAGAGACCCCCCCCCCCCCCCCCCCCCCCCGAGGGATGCCCAATCCTCCACCAATTGGTAACTGCCACTTTCCCAGCCAATAATCTCCCCTCCCCCCCATGGCCCCTCCTCCTTACCGTCAGCACGTGTTGGAGCTCCTGAGACACCATCTTGCGGAATTCCTTTTTGTTCATCTTGTCGTGTTTCCCCTTCTTCTCCGCGTACGTGTAGAAATTGCGCACCAGGATCTCGATGGCCGACTCCAGCTCGCTGCAACTGGACGCCATGTCTGGCCAAGAGCAGGCTATGGGGGGGGGGGGCAATGAGGGAAAGAGTCAGACATGGGGGGGGGGGGGGAAGAAGGGGGTGGGAGAGGGCAGGGAGACATAAAGGGCAGTTGGGGGGGTAGGGGACAAGGATGAGGGGGAGACATAGAGGGTAGATGGGGGGGTAGGAGAGAAGGGGAGATGGGGGCAGAAAGTCAATATACATGAAGAAACATTCCTCCTGGACCCCGCAGTGGCAGTTGGATTATCACCCCGGACCCCACAGTGGCAGTTGGATTATCACCCGGACCCCGCAGTGGCAGTTGGATTATCACCCCGGACCCCCCCGCAGTGGCAGTTGGATTATCACCCCGGACCCCGCAGTGGCAGTTGGATTATCACCCCGGACCCCGCAGTGACAGTTACCATCAGACGAACAATCAGATCACCTCGGAGAGATCTATTATGCCCCACCCCCGCATTATTATAAGTGAGGCCCCTCCCACCGCTCTCATGTTGCCCTTGAACTCTTTCCAGTTATTAGAAGTTTTTTGTGTTACAATACAGCACCCAAAGCTGCCCCCCCTGTTCTAGATGCACCCTCAATGCTGCCCCCCTGTTCTAGATGCACCCTTAAAGCTGCCCCCCCATGCTAGATGCCCCCCCAAAGCTGCCCCCATGTTCTAGATGCACCCTCAAAGCTGCCCCCCTGTTCTAGATGCACCCTCAAAGCTGTCTCCCCCCCCCTGTTCTAGATGCACCCCAAAGCTGCCCCCCTGTTCTAGATGCCCCCCAAAGCTGCCCCCTGTGCTAGATGTCTACCCAAAGCTGGCCCCCTGTTCTAGATGTCTCCCCAAAGCTGGCCCCTGTGCTAGATGTCTCTCCAAAGCTGGCCCCTGTTCTAGATGTCTCCAAAGCTGGCCCCCCAAAGCTGGCCCCTGTTCTAGATGTCTCCCCAAAGCTGGCCCCTGTTCTAGATGTCTCCCCAAAGCTGGCTCTGTTCTAGATGCACCCTCAAAGCTGCCCCGTTCTAGATGTCTCCCCAAAGTTGGCCCCTGTTCTAGATGCTCCCCCAAAGCTGCCCCCGTTCTACATGCACCCTCAAAGCTGCCCCCCTGTTCTACATGCACCCTCAAAGCTGCCCCCTGTTCTACATGCACCCTCAAAGCTGGCCCCTGTTCTAGATGCACCCTCAAAGCTGCCCCCCTGTTCTAGATGCACCCTCAAATCTGCCCCCTGTTCTAGATGTCTCCCCAAAGCTAGATGGCCCCTGTTCTAGATGCACCTCAAAGCTTCCCCCCTGTTCTAGATGCACCCTCAAAGCTGGCCCCTGTTCTAGATGTCTCCCCAAAGCTGGCCCCCTGTTCTAGATGCACCCTCAAAATGGCTCCCCCCATTCTAGAAGTGCCCCCAAAGTTGCCTGCCTATTCTAATTGCCCGCTGAAAATTTTTTCCCTATTTTTGATTTCCCCAAGGCTGTCCCCCCCGTGTCAGATGTGCCCCCAAGTCTAGCCCCATATTCTATATTTGTCCACAAAGCTGCCCCCCTGTTCTAGAAGTGCCCCCCCCCCCCTCCTCGAGCAGTCTTGTCCTTTCATACACACCAGCTGCTCTCCCTCTGACAGCTGGGAGGGGTGGGAGAGGTTAAGCTCTCATTATCTGAACCGGCTTTGTATTGTTGTCTGACTTCTTTGAAACACCCGACCAATGACACCGGGCTGGGGACACCTGACAACCAAAACCTGATCGGGGACACCTGACCACCAAGACCTGACTGGGAACATCTGACCACCAAGACCTGATCGGGGACACCTGACCACCAAGATCTGACTGGGAACACCTGACCACCAAGACCTGATCGGGAACACCTGACCACCAAGACCTGATCGGGAACACCTGACCACCAAGACCTGATCAACAACACTGGGCTGGGGACACCTGACAACCAAGACCTGACTGGGAGCACCTGACAACCAAGACCTGACTGGGGACACCTGACCACCAAGACCCAATGCAGGACACCTGACGACCAAGACCTGACCGGGGACACCTGACCACCAAGACCTGAACAACAACACAGGATTGGGGACACCTGACTACCAAGACCCAATGCAGGACACCTGACGACCAAGACCTGACCGGGGATACCTGACCACCAAGACCGGATTGGGGACACCTGACCACCAAGACCTGACCAGGGATACCTGACCACCAAGACCGGATTGGGGACACCTGACCATTAAGACCTGACCAGGGATACCTGACCACCAAGACCCAGCTGGGGACACCTGACCACCAAGACCCAGCTGGGGACACCTGACCACCAAGACCCAGCTGGGGACACCTGACCACCAAGACCTGACCAACAACACCGGACTGGGGACACCTTACCACCAAGACCTGACTGGGGACACCTGACCAGGGATACCTGACCACCAATACCTGACCAACAACACTGGACTGGGGACACCTGACCACCAAGACTTGACCAGGGATACCTGACTGGGGACACCTGACCACCAAGACCTGAAACGGGATACCTGACCACCAAGACCTGACTGGGGACACCTGACCAGGGATACCTGACCACCAATACCTGACCAACAACACTGGACTGGGGACACCTGACCACCAAGACTTGACCAGGGATACCTGACTGGGGTCACATGACCACCAAGACCTGAAACGGGATACCTGACCACCAAGACCTGACTGGGGTCACATGACCCCCAAGAGCTGGCCAAGGAAACCTGACCACCAACACCTGTCTGGGGCCACCTGACCACCTGATTTTATTTATTTTGTTTTGTCTCCTTTTTTTTAATTTTTTTCCCATATTCCTTTGCTTTGTGCAGACAAGTCCTGGGGGGGGGGATAGGGGTAACACGGACCCCAGCACCGCATATCGTCTCCATCGCGATGTCCTCTGTGTGCCCTTACCTCCCCATCCCTGGAGACCCCCCCAATATGCCGCATTTGTAGAGCATTGAGCGACAACACCTTAAAGATATTTGTTCTATTGATCCCTCCAGGGGTGTCACCCTTCCCCCGCCATCTGCTATCCCCCATCGCCCACCTGTCCCCGCTGATCTGCCCCCCTCCCCCTTCCCAGAAGAGTCTGTTGTCCCCCCACCCCGGGATTTCCTTTCATTTTCATTTCATCCGTCCAGCTCGGTGCCGCTCGTCCCCCGTTATATCGCTCGCCCGGCACCCCTCCCCCTCTATAGTATATATATATATATGTGTGTGTATATATGGGGATCATTTACCAGCTGCCTGCGGCTCCCAGCGCTCCCTCCACTCCCAGCTCTTCCTCCTGATCCTGGTTGGTGATTTCCGGCCAGTCACACCCTCAGGAACACCCGGGGGAGGGGGCTGCCCTTTGCTCTGATTGCAAGCTCTTCGGCCCCTCCCAGCTCTCCTGTCACATTTGTTACATTGTTACTCTGAAGAGTTCCATCGTTTCCCGTCCGGCGCTGGAAGAGTCAACCCGACCTGGAAGACATTCATCTGACATTCTGTGCCGGTGAATCTTCCGGGTCCTTGGCTGTTAACCCGTTCATGGCCGGGGCCGTTCTTTGTTTTGGTTAGGCCTGAAGATTACTTGGAACCCCCAAATGTTATATATTTTCTGAAAGCAGAGACCCCGGAGAATAAAATGGTGGCAGGTCCGATGTGGTGGGACGCACGATATTAGGGCAGCGGTTTATAAAACACAACATTTCAGAGAGAAAAAACAACACTGACGGTAATTTTAGGGCACACAAACGCAATATATTACCCAATTGTTCAAATACAGTACACAGAAGACCTGGGGTACTCAGAAGAAGACTTGGGGAGCTCACTAGAAGACTTGGGGTACCCAGAAGACTTGGGGTACTCAGCAGAACACCTTGGGCACTCACTAGAAGACCTGGGGTACTCAGTAGAAGACTTGGGGCATTCAGAATACTTGGGGCACTCAGTAGAAGACCTGGGGTACTCAGTAGAAGACTTGGGGCACTCAGTTGAAGACCTGGGGTACTCAGAAGAATTGGGGCACTCACTAGAAGCCTTGGGGTTCTCACTAGAAGACCTGGGGTACTCAGAAGAATTGGGGCACTCACTAGAAGCCTTGGGGTTCTCACTAGAAGACCTGGGGCACTCAGTAGAAGACCTGATGTACTCGGTAGAAGACCTGCGGCACTCAAGACTTAAGGGACTCAATAGAAGACTTGGGGAACTTAGTATGGGACTTGGGGCACTCAGAAGGCTTGGGGCATTCAGTATAAGACTTGGGGCACTCAGTAGAAGACCTGGGGCACTCAGTAGGAGACCCGGGGCACTCAGTAGGAGACCCGGGGCACTCAGTAGGAGACCCGGGGCACTCAGTAGGAGACTTGGGGCACTCAGTAGAAGACCAGGGGCAGTCAAGACTTGGGGCACTCAGTATGAGACTTGGGGCACTCAGTAGCAGACTTGGGGCACTCAGTAGAAGACCTGGGGCACTCAGTATGAGACTGGGGGCACTCAGTATGAGACTGGGGGCACTCAGTAGGAGACCCGGGGCACTCAGTAGGAGACCTGGGGCACTCAGTATGAGACTTGGGGCACTCAGTAGAAGACCAGGGGCAGTCAAGACTTGGGGCACTCAGTAGAAGACCTGGGGCACTCAGTATGAGACTTGGGGCAACCAGTAGAAGACTTGGGGCACTCAGTAGAAGACTTGGGGCACTCAGTAGGAGACCCGGGGCACTCAGTAGGAGACCGGGGCACTCAGTATGAGACTTGGGGCACTCAGTAGAAGACCAGGGGCAGTCAAGACTTGGGGCACTCAGTATGAGACTTGGGGCACTCAGTAGCAGACTTGGGGCACTCAGTAGAAGACCTGGGGCACTCAGTATGAGACTGGGGGCACTCAGTAGAAGACTTGGGGCACTCAGTAGGAGACCCGGGGCACTCAGTAGGAGACCTGGGGCACTCAGTATGAGACTTGGGGCACTCAGTAGAAGACCAGGGGCAGTCAAGACTTGGGGCACTCAGTAGAAGACCTGGGGCACTCAGTATGAGACTTGGGGCAACCAGTAGAAGACTTGGGGCACTCAGTAGAAGACTTGGGGCACTCAGTAGAAGACCAGGGGCAGTCAAGACTTGGAGCACTCAGTAGAAGACCCGGGGCACTCAGTATGAGACTGGGGGCACTCAGTAGAAGACTTGGGGCACTCAGTAGGAGACCCGGGGCACTCAGTAGGAGACCTGGGGCACTCAGTATGAGACTTGGGGCACTCAGTAGAAGACCTGGGGCACTCAGTATGAGACTTGGGGCAACCAGTAGAAGACTTGGGGCACTCAGTAGAAGACTTGGGGCACTCAGTAGGAGACCCGGGGCACTCAGTATGAGACTTGGGGCACTCAGTAGAAGACCTGGGGCACTCAGTATGAGACTTGGGGCAACCAGTAGAAGACTTGGGGCAACCAGTAGAAGACCAGGGGCAGTCAAGACTTGGAGCACTCAGTAGAAGACCCGGGGCACTCAGTAGAAGACCCGGGGCACTCAGTAGGAGACCCGGGGCACTCAGTAGGAGACCCGGGGCACTCAGTAGAAGACCTGGGGCACTCAGTATGAGACTTGGGGCACTCAGTAGAAGACCAGGGGCAGTCAAGACTTGGGGCACTCAGTAGAAGACCTGGGGCACTCAGTATGAGACTGGGGGCACCCAGTAGAAGACTTGGGGCACTCAGTAGGAGACCCGGGGCACTCAATAGGAGACCCGGGGCACTCAGTAGGAGACCTGGGGCACTCAGTATGAGACTTGGGGCACTCAGTAGAAGACCAGGGGCAGTCAAGACTTGGGGCACTCAGTAGAAGACCTGGGGCACTCAGTATGAGACTTGGGGCAACCAGTAGAAGACTTGGGGCACTCAGTAGAAGACTTGGGGCACTCAGTAGGAGACCCGGGGCACTCAGTATGAGACTTGGGGCACTCAGTAGAAGACCTGGGGCACTCAGTATGAGACTTGGGGCAACCAGTAGAAGACTTGGGGCACTCAGTAGAAGACCAGGGGCAGTCAAGACTTGGAGCACTCAGTAGAAGACCCGGGGCACTCAGTAGAAGACCCGGGGCACTCAGTAGAAGACCCGGGGCACTCAGTAGAAGACCCGGGGCACTCAGTAGGAGACTTGGGGCACTCAGTAGGAGACCCGGGGCACTCAGTAGGAGACCCGGGGCACTCAGTAGGAGACCTGGGGCACTCAGTATGAGACTTGGGGCACTCAGTAGAAGACTGGGGGGCAGTCAAGACTTGGGGCACTCAGTAGAAGACCTGGGGCACTCAGTAGAAGACCTGGGGCACTCAGTATGAGACTTGGGGCAACCAGTAGAAGACTTGGGGCACTCAGTAGAAGACTTGGGGCACTCCGTAGAAGACCTGGGGCACTCAGTATGAGACTTGGGGCACACAGTATGAGACCTGGGGCAGTCAAGACTTGGGGCACTCAATAGAAGACCTGGGGCAGTCAAGACTTGGGGCACTCAGTAGAAGACCTGGGGCACTCAGTATGAGACTATGGGCGCTCAGTAGAAGATTTGGGGCACTCAGTAGAAGACTTGGGGCGCTCAGTAGAACACTTGGGGCACTCAGTATAAGACTTGGGGCGCGCGCTCAGTAGGAGACCTGGGGCACTCAGTAGAAGACCAGGGGCAGTCAAGACTTGGGGCACTCAGTATGAGACTTGGGGCACTCAGTAGAAGACCTGGGGCACTCAGTATGAGACCTGGGGCACTCAGTAGAAGACCTGGGGCACTCAGTAGAAGACCTGGGGCACTCAGTAGAAGACCTGGGGCACTCAGTATGAGACTTGGGGCACTCAGTAGGAGACCTGGGGCAGTCTAGACTTGGGGCGCTCAGTAGAAGACTTGGGGTGTGCAGTATAAGACTTGGGGCGCTCAGTAGAAGACCTGGGGCACTCAGTAGAAGACTTGGGGCGCTCAGTAGAAGACTTGGGGCGCTCAGTAGAAGACTTGGGGCACTCAGTAGAAGACCTGTGGCACATGCCGTGGGTGTCAGGGTCCAGCAATGCCCCTGGTAGACCCCATAGTTTGCTGTGGACATTGTTTCTGATTGTGTATCGCAGTGCTGTGGATCTCCTGCAGCCTCTTTGAAGCCACTTCCTGTCTACAGGCACTCCCGTGATGGCGTAGTGACGGTATATGTCAGAGCTATGCCGCCATTTGATTGGCACACAATACACAAGACGTGATTCACAAAAGCAGTTTCATTTTATTATATTAAACAACAATGGGAATGCATTCCGATGGCTTTATTCCTGGTGGCTCCGCCCTCCTGGCAGCTCCGCCCTCCTGGTGGCTCCGCCCTCTTCACGGCTCCTCACTTCTTTTTGGCTTTGATCTCCTTCTTGGCCCCCTTGGCCAGCTCCCCGATCAGTCTCCAATACTCGTTGAATTTCAGCTCCTGGTCCTGATTAACGTCCAACTCCTTCAACTTATCCTCCAGGGAGACGTCCTGAGGAAGGGAGGAGAGGTCAGCGAAACGTGGCGGCAGCAGCCTGGTCATGTGACACCTACCGACACCAGGCAGAGAGATCTCTGTACTGCGCCACTGTATATGGCAGAGCTATAGAAATGTATTATAATAATAGTGTGGGACTGTGGGGGAGGGGACATTAGAGTGTAAGCTCCTCTGGTACAGAGACTGATGTGACTGTGGGGGAGGGGACATTAGAGTGTAAGCTCCTCTGGTACAGAGACTGATGGGACTGTGGGGGAGGGGACATTAGAGTGTAAGCTCCTCTGGTACAGAGACTGATGGGACTGTGGGGGAGGGGACATTAGAGTGTAAGCTCCTCTGGTACAGACTGATGGGACTGTGGGGGAGGGGACATTAGAGTGTAAGCTCTTCTGGTACAGACTGATGGGACTGTGGGGGAGGGGACATTAGAGTGTAAGCTCCTCTGGTACAGGCTGATGGGACTGTGGGGGAGGGGACATTGGAGTGTAAGCTCCTCTGGTACAGAGACTGATGGGACTGTGGGGGAGGGGACATTGAGTGTAAGCTCCTCTGGTACAGACTGATGGGACTGTGGGGGAGGGGGCATTAGAGTGTAAGCTCCTCTGGTACAGACTGATGGGACTGTGGGGGAGGGGGCATTAGAGTGTAAGCTCCCCTGGTACAGACTGATGGGACTGTGGGGGAGGGGACATTAGAGTGTAAGCTCCTCTGGTACAGACTGATGGGACTGTGGGGGAGGGGACATTAGAGTGTAAGCTCCTCTGGTACAGACGGATGGGACTGGCTCAGTGATCTCTGTACACCTCCGCGGTATAGGTCGGAGCTCCTGTATGGTAATAATACATAAGAGATATCCTCCGCAGTCATGGAGGAACTACAACCCCCAGCGGGCCCTATCATGCCTGTGGTTGTCATCCCCCAGCCCCCCGGGGGGCCCCGCTGACAGAGTGGCCCTCTGTTTGGGCTCATTGGTTGGTGTCGGTGACATGAATTGGCTGCGGGAAGCCGCAGGGAACAAGCCGGCTCTCACAGTCCCGGACAAAGCTCACCTGTGCTCCCCCGGGCAGGAAAAGGAGGACATTGTTCCTGATGTGTAGACATGGCGGGGGGGGGGGAAGGGGGGGCGCGGGGGGGGCTCACCGAATGACCTGAACTTCTCGAATGGAGCGAATGGAGCCATTCATAGAGGGGCGTCTGAGAGATTCCAGATTCTGGGGGAAGGTATTCCTCAGCGCACATCCACCTTCCTCTCAATCATCCCACGAGGCAGAACCCCCCCCCCCCCCCACAGCCAGACTGCAGCCACATTGTTTTGGAATGGGGGGGGGGTGGTAGAACCCTCGGCCAAAAAAAAAAATAATAAATTGCCTGTAGTTGGACTGTGAAGTGTAACCAGCATGGTGACAAATCTGAAGCGGGGGGAGGGGTGAGGGGCCCTTTAAACCAATGTACTGGGTTGGGTGGGGGGGCTCCCAAGAACTGTGCACTTACTTTGTTGGGGGGGGACTTTTATAATGGTGGACTCAGCTGGGTGGGGGGTTCTTCATACTGGTGCACTTGTCTGGGTGAGGGGGCCCCTCTATAATGGTGCCTTGGGTTGGGTGGGGGCCCTGTTAAAATGGTGCGCTCAGCTGGGTGGAGGGGGGGGGGCTTCTTAGAACGATGCCCTATGGGTGGGGGCTCTTTTATGGTCCAGTAGATTGGGTGGGGGGGCCTTTTATAATGGTGTAATAGGTTGGGTGGGGGGGGGGCCTTTTATAATGGTGCAGTAGGTTTGGTGGGGGGGCCCTTTTATAATGCTCTAGTAGGTTGGGTGGGGGGAGGGATCTTTTATAATGGTGCAGTAGGTTGGGTGGGGGCTCTTTTATAATGCTCTAGTAGGTTGGGTGGGGGGCCCTTTTATAATGCTCTAGTAGGTTGGGTGGGGGGATCTTTTATAATGGTCCAGTAGGTTGGGTGGGGGCCCTTTTATAATGGTCCAGTAGGTTGGGTGGGGGCCCTTTTATAATGGTCCAGTAGGTTGGGTGGGGGCCCTTTTATAATGCTCTAGTAGGTTGGGTGGGGGCTCTTTTATAATGCTCTAGTAGGTTGGGTGGGGGCTCTTTTATAATGCTCTAGTAGGTTGGGTGGGGGGCCCTTTTATAATGCTCTAGTAGGTTGGGTGGGGGGATCTTTTATAATGGTCCAGTAGGTTGGGTAGGGGCCCTTTTATAATGCTCTAGTAGGTTGGGTGGGGGCTCTTTTATAATGGTCCAGTAGGTTGGGTGGGGGCCCTTTTATAATGGTCCAGTAGGTTGGGTGGGGGCCCTTTTATAATGGTCCAGTAGGTTGGGTGGGGGCCCTTTTATAATGGTCCAGTAGGTTGGGTGGGGGGCCTTTCACAATGGTGCAATATGTGGGTGGGGGGCTCTTCATACTGGTGAACTGGCTTGGGTGGGGGGCCCCTCTATAATGTAGCCCTGGGTTTAGTGGGGGCCCTGTTGAAATGGTGCACCCAGCTGGGTGGTGGGGGGGCTCTGTATAAGGATGCCCTATGGGTGGGGATTCTTTTATAATGGTCCAATAGTTTGGGTGGGGTGGGGGCTCTTTTAGAATGGTGGACTCAGCTGGGTGGGGGGGGTGCTCTTCATACCAGCGCCCTTGTCTGGGTAAGGGTGCCCTAGCTTGGGTGGGGGCCCTGTTAAAATGGTCAGACCTATTGATCTTTGGTGTGACTTTTACTGGGGAGAACGTGGGAGCTCTCGGGAGGGGGTGTGGCTTTGGTAGATCTTTGGCGTGACTTTTACTGGGGAGAACGTGGGAGCTCTCGGGAGGGGGTGTGGCTTTGGTAGATCTTTGGCGTGACTTTTACTGGGGAGAACGTGGGAGCTCTCAGGAAGGGGCGGGGCTCAGCTGCTCACCTTCATCAGATGTGGGAGCTCTTTGGCCACCAGGCAGTTGAACTCGCCCTGTGTCAGGGTCTCTTTCTTGCCCTCCTCTCCGGCGTGTTCAAAGAAACAGGTCACAATGGTGACGATGGCGCGTTCCACCTCTGTCTGCACGGCGGCCATGTTAAGCTGGGGGGGGGGGGGGGGGGGAGGAGGAGAAAGGACAGGATCAGACAGAGAAGATGGGGGGCAGTATGATAAAAGCCCAGAAGAAAGTAACAATTATAAAAACACACACCAGGAAAAGAACACTTATCAAAAAAGTGACAGTTATTCTCAGAAAGTGGCAGTTATTATCAGAAAAAGTGACAGTTATTGTTCGAATGTGACAGTTATTATCGGAAAGTGACGGTTATAAAAAAAAAAAAAAAACAGGACAAGGATACTTGTTACGAAAAAAGTTAGCGGTTCTCAGAAAGTGGCAGTTATTTTCAGAAAAAGCAGAGTTATTGTCAGAAATTGACAGTCTTGGAAAGTGACAATTATAAAAACGAACACCAGGAAAAGGATACTTATCATCAAAAAAGTGACAGTTATTATCAGAAACTGGCAGTTATTATTAGAAAAAGTGACAGTTATTGTCAGAAACTGGCAGTTATCATTAGAAAAAGTGACAGTTATTGTCAGAAAGTGTGAATTACTATAAGAAAGTGAGTTACTGTCACAAAGTGACAGTTATCTTTTGGAAGAAAGTAGCAGTTATTATCAGGAAAAAGTGAGTTATTCTCAGAAAGTGACATGATCAGACAAAGTGACAGTTATTATCAGAAAGTGGCACTTACTATCAAAAAAGTGACAGTTATTGTCAGAAATTAACAGTTATTATCGGAAAGTGAAAATTGCAAAACACACACTAGGAAAAGGATACTTATCATCATAAAAGTGACAGTTATTATCAGAAACTGGCACTTATTAGAAAAAGTGACAGTTATTGTTAAAAAGTGTGATTTACTATAAGAAAGCGAGTTACTGTCAGACAGTGCCAGTTATCATCGGGAGAAAGTAGCAGTTATTATCAGGAAAAAGTGACAGTTATCAGAAATTGACAGTTATTATTGGAAAGTGAAAATCGCAAAACACACACCAGGAAAAGGATACATATCATCAAAAAAGTGACAGTTATTATCAGAGTGGCAATTACTATTAAAAAAGTGACAGTTACCAGAAAGTGGCAGTTATTATCGGTACGTGATAATGATAAAACACACACTAAGAAACCGATGCATATGATCAAAAAAGTGACAGTTATTCTCAGAAAGTGGCAGTTATTTCAGTTACACTCACGTGGCTAGAATAAAGATACTTATGTTTTGTGAACAGAGCGTAATGTCCCCGATTCATCGAGCTGCATTGGCCCCTCAAGTAGAACTCCGCCCCCTTCCCCCCCCCCCTGAAATAAAACGATTTGAGCGTCAGCATTGAATTCTAAACCCTTCTGCAGAGTCCTCTGAGTCCTCCGGCAAACTCCCACAAATACCTGTTGATCCTGCCAGTGAGGTCCACCTAATGCAGTTTCCTGTGATGGGGTGACAACGGTGTTGCACTGCTCCTAAATTCAGAGCAGAGTTGTCACCCTCAGGTAGGCGGGGCCTGATTCTACTTGGGTGGGAGGAGAGAATGATGCCACACCCTTCACAATCTGATTGTACAGCCTTTTGCAGACGGGGTAGGTGAAGGGATTGCCGGATTGGCTACAGGTGAGGTGAACGGTTGAGGTCGGTCCTTCTATTATACAGCCCTGTAGATCTGTCAGGTTGCATCGTGTATGGCCGCTTGATAGGGACTGTACCACCAATTTGTTACCTGCCCCCCAGAGGACGGTCAGGAGACTGCTGGTGGGTACACCTCGAGTAACAGTGAGTACAGAGCACACAGCGCGAGCAGAGACGTAGTACTCAGAGTAACAGGGGGAAGAGACGTAGTACACAGAGTAACAGGGGGAAGAGACGTAGTACACAGAGTAACAGGGGGAAGAGACGTAGTACTCAGAGTAACAGGGGGAAGAGACGTAGTACACAGAGTAACAGGGGGAAGAGACGTAGTACACAGAGTAACAGGGGGAAGAGACGTAGTACACAGAGTAACAGGGGGAAGAGACGTAGTACACAGAGTAACAGGGGGAAGAGACGTAGTACACAGAGTAACAGGGGGAAGAGACGTAGTACACAGAGTAACAGGGGGAAGAGACGTAGTACACAGAGTAACAGGGGGAAGAGACGTAGTACTCAGAGTAACAGGGGGAAGAGACGTAGTACTCAGAGTAACAGGGGGAAGAGACGTAGTACACAGAGTAACAGGGGGAAGAGACGTAGTACACAGAGTAACAGGGGGAAGAGACGTAGTACTCAGAGTAACAGGGGGAAGAGACGTAGTACACAGAGTAACAGGGGGAAGAGACGTAGTGCTCAGAGTAACAGGGGGAAGAGACGTAGTACACAGAGTAACAGGGGGAAGAGACGTAGTACTCAGAGTAACAGGGGGAAGAGACGTAGTACTCAGAGTAACAGGGGGAAGAGACGTAGTGCTCAGAGTAACAGGGGGAAGAGACGTAGTACACAGAGTAACAGGGGGAAGAGACGTAGTACTCAGAGTAACAGGGGGAAGAGACGTAGTGCTCAGAGTAACAGGGGGAAGAGACGTAGTACACAGAGTAACAGGGGGAAGAGACGTAGTACTCAGAGTAACAGGGGGAAGAGACGTAGTACTCAGAGTAACAGGGAGCAAAAACATAGTACTCAGAGTAACAGGAGCAGAGATGTAATACTCAGTAACAGGGGGAAGAGACGTAGTACACAAAGTAGCAGTGAGCAGAGACATAGTACACAGAGTAACAGGGGGAAGAGACATAGTACACAGAGTAACATGAGCAGAGACGTAATACTCAGTAACAGGAGCAGAGACGTAGTACACAGAGTAACATGGAGCAGAGACGTAGTAGTACACAAAGTAACAGGAGCAGAGATGTAGTAGAGGAACAGGGAGCACAGACGTAGTACACAGAGTAACAGGGGGAAGAGACATAGTACACAGAGTAAACAGAGCAGAGACGTATTACTCAGTAACAGGGAGCAGAGACGTAGTACACAGAGTAACAGGGAGCAGAGACGTAGTAGAGTAACAGGGAGCAGAGAGTAGTACACACAAAGTAACAGGAGCAGAGACGCAGTACTCAGAGTAACAGGGAGCAGAGACGTAGTACTCAGAGTAACAGGGAGCAGAGACGCAGTACACAGAGTAACAGGAGCAAAGATATAGTACACAGTAACAGGGAGCAGAGACGTGGTTCACAGACTACCAGAGACTTAATACTCAGTAACAGGAGCAGAGACATTGTACACAGAGTAACGTGCAGAGATGTAGTACACAGAGTAGGAGGAGCAGAGACACAGTACTCAGTAACAGGAACAGAGACGTAGTACTCAGAGTAACAGGGGAAGAGACATAGTACACAAAGTAGCAGTGAGCAGAGACGTAGTAGAGTAACAGGGAGCAAAAACATAGTACTCAGAGTAACAGGGGGAAGAGACATAGTAAACAGAGTAACCAGAGCAGAGACATAGTACACAGAGTAACATGAGCAGAGACGTATTACGCAGTAGTAACAGGGAGCAGAGATTTAGTACACAGAGTAACAGGAGCAGAGATTTAGTACACAGAGTAACAGGAGCAGAAACAAAGTACTCAGAGTAACAGGGGGAAGAGACATAGTACACAGAGTAACAGGGAGCAGAGATGTAGTACACAGAGTAAAAGGAGCAGAGACGTAGTAGAGTAACAGGGAGCAGAGACGTAGTACACAGAGTAACAGGAGCAGAGACGTAGTACACAGAGTAACAGGAGCAAAGACGTGGTTCACACAGTAACAGGGAGCAGAGACTTAGTACACAGACTACGAGAGAGCAGAGACGTAATACTCAGTAACAGGAGCACAGACATAGTACACAGAGTAACGTGCAGAGAAGTAGTACACAGAGTAAGAGGAGCAGAGACAGTACTCAGAAACAGGAGCAGAAACGTAGTACTCAGAGTAACAGGGGAAGAGACATAGTACACAGAGTAACAGGGAGAAGAGAATTGCACATAGAATGACAGAGAGCACAGAGTAGTACACAGAGTAACAGGAACAGAGACGTAATACTCAGAGTAACAGGAGAAGAGATGTAGTACACAAAGTAGCAGTGAGCAGAGACATGGTACTCAGAGTAACAGGAGCAGAGACGTAGTACACAGAGTAACAGGAGCAGAGACGTAGTACACAGAGTAACAGGGAGCAGAGACGTAGTACACAGAGTAACAGGGAGCAGAGACGTAGTACACAGTAACAAGTAACAGCAGAGACGTAGTACACAGAGTAACAGGGAGCAGAGACGTAGTACACAGAGTAACAGGAGCAGAGACGTAGTACACAGAGTAACAGGAGCAGAGACGTAGTACACAGAGTAACAGGAGCAGAGATGTAGTACACAGAGTAACAGGGAGCAGAGACGTAGTACACAGAGTAACAGGAGCAGAGACGTAGTACACAGAGTAACAGGGAGCACAGATGTAATACACAGAGTAACAGGGAGCAGAGAAGTAGTAGAGTAACAGAGAGCAGAGACGTGGTACTCAGAGTAATAGGAGCAGAGACATGCTCAGAGTAACAGGAGCAGAGATGTAGTACACAGAGTAACAGGAGCAGAGATGTAGTACACAGAGTAACAGGAGCAGAGACGTAGTACACAGAGTAACAGGGAGCAGAGTCGTAGTAGAGTAACAGAGAGCAGAGACGTAGTACTTAGAGTAATAGGAGCAGAGACATGCTCAAAAGTAACAGGGGGAGAGATGTAGTACACAGAGTAACAGGGAGCAGAGACGTAGTACACAGAGTAACAGGAGCAGAGACGTAGTACACAGAGTAACAGGAGCAGAGACGTGGTTCACACAGTAACAGGACAGAGACTTAGTACACAGACTACGAGAGAGCAGAGACGTAATACTCAGAGTAACAGGAGCACAGACATAGTACACAGAGTAACGTGCAGAGAGAAGTAGTACACAGAGTAAGAGGAGCAGAGACAGTACTCAGAAACAGGAGCAGAAACGTAGTACTCAGAGTAACAGGGGAAGAGACATAGTACACAGAGTAACAGGGAGAAGAGAATTGCACATAGAAGTGACAGAGAGCACAGAGTAGTACACAGAGTAACAGGAACAGAGACGTAATACTCAGAGTAACAGGAGAAGAGATGTAGTACACAAAGTAGCAGTGAGCAGAGACATGGTACTCAGAGTAACAGGAGCAGAGACGTAGTACACAGAGTAACAGAGAGCAGAGACGTAGTACACAGAGTAACAGGAGCAGAGACGTAGTACACAGAGTAACAGGGAGCAGAGACGTAGTAGAGTAACAGAGAGCAGAGACGTAGTACTTAGAGTAACAGGAGCAGAGACGTAGTACACAGAGTAACAGGGAGCAGAGACATAGTACACAGAGTAACAGGGAGCAGAGACATAGTACACAGAGTAACAGGGAGCAGAGACATAGTACACAGAGCAACAGAGAGCAGAGACATAGTACACAGAGTAATAGGAGCAGAGACATGCTCAAAGTAACAGGGGGAAGAGATGTAGTACACAGAGTAACAGGAGCAGAGATGTAGTACACAGAGTAGAGGGAGACGGTGAGATGAGAGTATTATGGATGAGGGTGAGATGAGTATTATTGGGGTATCACCTGGTACGGGGCGAGGGATGTGCTCCTGGCTGTGCCCGGCTCTCAGTCTGCTCTCTGCGCTCTGGATGACCAATGTCCCCCCTAACAGAGGATCTATGTGTCACGGCCACGCCCCCAGTCCTGGCACTACAACAGCGCCCACTGTTTGCTGGACTGACAGGGGCCAGTGTGCAGGACTGGGGGCCCCACACCGCCCCCGACCACCTCCCACCTCCCATTAACCCCTCACTGCATCATTCAACAACCTCAACTCACACCCTGTGTACTATGCCTGTCCCCCCCAAACCGATACCTGTCCCCTGTGTACCCCAATATACTCCTGTGTACTATGCCTGTCACCCCCAAACTGATACCTGTCCCCTGTGCACCCCAATATACTCCTGTGTACTATACCTGTCCCCTGTGCACCCCAATATACTCCTGTGTACTATACCTGTCCCCTGTGTACCCCAATATACTCCTGTGTACTATGCCTGTCCCCTGTGCACCCCAATATACTCCTGTGTACTATACCTGTCCCCTGTGCACCCCAATATACTCCTGTGTACTATACCTGTCCCCTGTGCACCCCAATATACTCCTGTGTACTATACCTGTCCCCTGTGTACCCCAATATACTCCTGTGTACTATACCTGTCCCCTGTGCACCCCAATATACTCCTGTGTACTATACCTGTCCCCTGTGCACCCCAATATACTCCTGTGTACTATGCCTGTCCCCCCAAACCGATACATGTCCCCTGTGCACCCCAATATACCCCTGTGTACTATGCCTGTCACCCCCCAAACCAATACCTGTCCCCTGTGTACCCCAATATACTCCTGTGTACTATGCCTGTCCCCTGTGCACCCCAATATACCTGTGTACTACGCCTGTCACCCCCCAAACCGATACCTGTCCCCTGTGTACCCCAATATACCCCTGTGTACTATGCCTGTCCCCTGTGCACCCCAATATACCCCTGTGTACTATGCCTGTCCCCTGTGTACCCCAATATACCCGTGTACTATGCCTGTCCCCTGTGTACCCCAATATTCCCCTGTGTACTATGCCTGTCCCCTGTGTACCCCAATATTCCCCTGTGTACTATGCCTGTCTGCCCCAAACCGATACCTGTCCCCTGTGCACCCCAATATACCCGTATACTATGCCTGTCCCCTGTGTACCCTAATATACCCGTGTACTATGCCCGTCCCCTGTACACCCCAATATACCCCTGTGTACTACACCTGTCACCCCCCCGACCGATACCTATCCCCTGTGCACCCCAATATACCCCTGTGTACTATACCTGTCACCCCCAGACCGATACCTGTCCCCTGTGTACCCCAATATACCCCTGTGTACTATGCCTGTCACCCCCAAACTGATACCTGTCCCCTGTGCACCCCAATATACCCCTGTGTACTATACCTGTCACCCCCCGACCGATACCTATCCCCTGTGCACCCCAATATACCCCTGTGTACTATACCTGTCACCCCCAGACCGATACCTGTCCCCTGTGTACCCCAATATACCCCTGTGTACTATGCCTGTCACCCCCAAACTGATACCTGTCCCCTGTGCACCCCAATATACCCCTGTGTACTATACCTGTCACCCCCAAACCAATACCTGTCCCCTGTGTACCCCAATATACCCCTGTGTACTATGCCTGTCCCCTGTGCACCCCAATATACCCCTGTGTACTATGCCTGTCCCCTGTGTACCCCAATATACCCGTGTACTATGCCTGTCCCCTGTGCACCCCAATATACCCCTGTATACTATGCCTGTCACCCCCAGACCGATACCTGTCCCCTGTGTACCCCAATATACCCGTGTACTATGCCTGTCATTCCCAGACCGATACCTGTCCCCTGTGTACCCCAATATACCACTGTGTACTATAACCATCACCCCTGACCTAATACCTGCCCCCCTTGTCCCCCAATATACCCTAACGGAGATCCCCCAACCATCTGATACTTGTTCTGTACCCCAATACACCCCCATCTCCTATGTACCATAACCATCACCCAGGACCATCACCTACCCCACCGTGTACCAAATATACACTTACCCCCCCCCCCCCCCCCAATCTGATACCTCCCCCCAACATACATCTGTCCCAAGTGTACCATCACCGTCACCCCTTCTGTATACATGAAGAGGAACAAATCGATGGATCCCAACCCCCCCCCCCCCCAACATGAAGATCCATATAATGTCTGGATGGCTTGTCGTGTAACTGGTGTAGAGCGCCCCCTGTAGGAGAGGCTTGGTATGACGGGTCGTCTGACTGCTTCGTCTCCTGTGGGTGGAGCTTCGCGTGCTGCCAGGACCTCGGCTAGCCTAGTATAATACCACAGGGGGAATTATCAGGCAGGAAACAGGCGGCAAGCCGCTCCCTGGGGGGTGAAGCAAATGTGCGGTCACAGGGCGAGCAAAGTGCAAGGCACAGAACGACAAGGCACCTGAGACCCCGACACTCAACACTCCACCTCTGACCCCGACACTCAACCCTCCGCCTATCTGACCCCGACGCTCAACCCTCCGCCTATCTGACCCCGACGACGCTCAACCCTCCGCCTATCTGACCCCGACGCTCAACCCTCCACCTATCTGACCCCGACACTCGACCCTCCGCCTATCTGACCCCGACACTCGACCCTCCGCCTATCTGACCCCGACACTCGACCCTCCGCCTATCTGACCCCGACACTCGACCCTCCGCCTATCTGACCCCGACGCTCAACCCTCCGCCTATCTGACCCCGACGCTCAACCCTCCGCCTATCTGACCCCGACACCGAACCCTCCGCCTATCTGACCCCGACACTCAACCCTCCGCCTATCTGACCCCGACGCTCAACCCTCCGCCTATCTGACCCCGACACCGAACCCTCCGCCTATCTGACCCCGACACTCGACCCTCCGCCTATCTGACCCCGACATCCAACCCTCCGCCTATCTGACCCCGACATCCAACCCTCCGCCTATCTCTGACCCCGACATTCAAACCCTCCGCCTATCTGACCCCGACATTCAACCCTCCGCCTATCTGACCCCGACATTCAACCCTCCGCCTATCTGACCCCGACATTCAACCCTCCACCTATCTGACCCCGACCCCGACACACCAATCCTCCACCTATCTGACCCCGACACCCAACCCTCCACCTATCTGACCCCGACACCCAACCCTCCACCTATCTGACCCCGACACCCAACCCTCCACCTATCTGACCCCGACACCCAACCCTCCACCTATCTGACCCCGACACCCAACCCTCCACCTATCTGACCCCGACACCCAACCCTCCACCTGTCTGACCCCAACACCCAACCCTCCACCTATCTGACCCCGACACCCAACCCTCCACCTGTCTGACCCCAACACCCAACCCTCCACCTGTCTGACCCCAACACCCAACCCTCCACCTATCTGACCCCAACACCCAACCTTCCTCTTTCCTGACTGCAACACTCAACCTAACCCCCAACCTGACTCCAACAATCAATCCTCAACCCAAACAGATGCCATGGAGCCAATCTGTAAAACTGGACCTGTGACCGACATGAACGACCACATGAAAACTGCCGCAAGAGCCCCCCATAGCGGTTTATGTACCGACTCGGCAAGAACCATCCTGGGAAGGAATTGTAGAGATCAGCCGTGCTCCTGGGGGGTCACCCAAAAAACGAAGCACCCTAAACGCAGGCTGGGAACCTCGGTCTGGAACCTTGGGCCACCTGCAAGGAAATCCTGGGCATGCCAACAGCTCACCTATGGCCATGGCATGCCGTGGGAGTGCTACGGGGCCCGTCCCTGGACGTATTGCAACTTACACAGGACGTATCTGGATACATCAAACTGCTGTGTCAGCAAATAGCGTCCCATGTTGCCAGGGAGACAGGGAGAAAACAAGGGGCCAATTAACGCGTGGGGCCCGATCAGACCTAGTCATGTCCCTCAGAGTGGCCCGTACAGGCCAAGACGATTCGCCCCATGTGTGCTGGACCTCCTTGCATTTCAAGGAGCGGTCTCCTGGAGTGGGTCAGAAGGTCCCCATGCCTCGTACTTACAGGCACTGCGGTGTAGCGAGTGGCTCCTGTCCCTTTAAGTCATTCCTGGCCGGCTGAAAACAGGAAGTTTAGGGTGTCCCAGCAAGGAGGTGGAGGAGGAGGTGGGGCCCTCAGCTGACTGCAGCCTCTTTATAGCTGGGAGCCACTGACTCATCCCAGGGAGATTCCCGGGTGTCGTGAAGCGTGGTGGGCAGCAGGGGGCGGCGCGGAGGCCGTATAGAGTGGCGCACCATCAATAATGCATCCTGCAGGACCTTGTCCTTAAAATTAAATCTTAATTATTGACAAGGCCATTGTCTGCGGCAGAGGTGAGAGCGCGAGCAACCCGAGACCCCAGGGCGCTGGGCAGAAGAGCTCGCAATCTAACGGAGGCGGAGGTGAGAGCGCGAGCAACCCGAGACCCCGGGACACCGGACAGAACAGCTCACAATCTAACGGAGGTGAGAGCGTGAGCAACCCGAGACCCCCGGAACGCCGGGCAGAAGAGCTTGCAATCTAACGGAGGTGGAGGTGACAGCGCGAGCAACCCGAGACCCCAGGACACCGGACAGAAGAGCTCGCAATCTAACGGAGACTGAGGTGAGAGCGTGAGGTACCGGAGACCCCCGGAACGCCGGGCAGAAGAGCTCGCAATCTAACGGAGACGGAGGTGAGAGCTCTTCTGCCCGGAGTCCCTGGGGTCTCGGGTTCCTCACGCTTTCACCTCCGCCTCCATTAGATTGCAAGCTCTTCTGCCCGGCGTCCCCTGGGGTCCCAGGTTCTTTGCGCTCTCATCTCCACCTCCGTTAGATTGCGAGCTCCTCTTCCCGGCGTCCCGGGGGTCTCGGGTTCCTCACGCTCTCACCTCCGCCTCCATTAGATTGCGAGCTCTTTTGCCCGGCATCCCGTGGGTCTCAGGTCTTCACGCTCTCACCTCTGTTAGATTGCGAGCTCTTCTGCTTGGCGTCCCGGGGGGCTCGGGTTCCTCACATTCTCACCTCAACCTCCATTAGATTGCGAGCGTTCTGCCCGGCATCCCCTGGGTCTCGGGTTCCTCACGTTCTCACCTCCGTTAGATTGCTAGCTCTTCTGCCCGGTGTCCCGTGGGTCTCGGGTTCCTCTTGCTCTCACCTCCACCTCCGTTAGATTGCGAGCTCTTCTGCCCGGCGTCCCGTGGGTCTCGGGTTCCTCGCGCTCTCACCTCCGTTAGATTGCAAGCTCTTCTGCCTGGCATCCCGGGGGGCTCGGGTTCCTCACTCTCTCACCTCCATTTCTGTTAGATTGCGAGCTCTTCTGCCTGGCATCCCGTGGGTCTCGGGTTCCTCACGCTCTCACCTCCGTTAGATTGCAAGCTCTTCTGCCTGGCATCCCGGGGGGCTCGGGTTCCTCACTCTCTCACCTCCATTTCTGTTAGATTGCGAGCTCTTCTGGGCTGCGTTTCTATAGTGGCGACAATACGGAACACTGACCGCATTGTCAATATCGCATCGATCGCCGGATAGTCCGCTGTAGCCGCACAACGCGACGCGCCATCGCGAATGTGCTTTATTGATCCCATCTTTTTTTTTTTTTTTTTGGAGCTGGACAACCATTCGCCGCTTTGGAATTCGACCTCTGCCTCTGTTAGATTGCGAGCTCTTCTGCCCGCGTCCCAGGGGTCTCGGGTTCCTCACGCTCTCACCTCCGTTAGATTGCAAGCTCTTCTGCCCGGCCTCCCGGGGGTCTCGGGTTCCTCAAGCTCTCACCTCCGTTAGATTGCAAGCTCTTCTGCCCGGCGTCCCGGGGAGTCTCGGGTTCCTCAAGCTCTCACCTCCATTAGATTGCAAGCTCTTCTGCCCGGCGTCCCAGGGGTCTCGGGTTCCTCGCGCTCTCACCTCAGTCTCCATTAGATTGCGAGCTCTTCTGCCCGGCATCCTGGGGGGGTCTCGGGTTCCTCACGCTCTCTCCTCAGTCTCCGTTAGATTGCGAGCTCTTCTGCCTGGCGTCCCGGGGGTCTCGGGTTCCTCAAGCTCTCACCTCCGTTAGATTGCGAGCTCTTCTGCCCGGCGTCCCAGGGGTCTCGGGTTCCTCGCGCTCTCACCTCTGTTAGATTGCAAGCTCTTCTGCCCAGCGTCCCAGGGGTCTCGGGTTCCTCACGCTCTCGCCTCAGTCTCCGTTAGATTGCAAGCTCTTCTGCCTGGCGTCCTGGGGATCTCGGGTTCCTCAAGCTCTCACCTCCGTTAGATTGCGAGCTCTTCTGCCCGGCGTCCCGGGGAGTCTCCAGTTCCTCGCGCTCTCACCTCTGTTAGATTGCAAGCTCTTCTGCCCAGCGTCCCAGGGGTCTCGGGTTCCTCACGCTCTCACCTTCGTCTCCGTTGGATTGCGAGCTCTTCTGCCCGGCGTCCCAGGGGTCTCGGGTTCCTCATGCTCTCACTTCCGTTAGATTGCGAGCTCTTCTGCCCGGCGTCCCAGGGAGTCTCCGGTTCCTTGCACTCTCACCTCTGTTAGATTGCAAGCTCTTCTGCCCAGCGTCCCGGGGATCTCGGGTTCCTCAAGCTCTCACCTCTGTTAGATTGCAAGCTCTTCTGCCCGGCGTCCCAGGGGTCTCGGGTTCCTCATGCTCTCACCTCCATCTCTGTTAGATTGCAAGCTCTTCTGCTTGACATCCTGGGGGTCTCAGGTTCCTCATGCTCTCACCTCCGTCTCTGTTAGATTGCAAGCTCTTCTGCCCGGCCTCCCGGGGGTCTCGGGTTCCTCAAGCTCTCACCTCCGTTAGATTGCAAGCTCTTCTGCCCGGCCTCCCGGGGGTCTCGGGTTCCTCAAGCTCTCACCTCCGTTAGATTGCAAGCTCTTCTGCCCGGCGTCCCGGGGAGTCTCGGGTTCCTCAAGCTCTCACCTCCATTAGATTGCAAGCTCTTCTGCCCGGCGTCCCAGGGGTCTCGGGTTCCTCGCGCTCTCACCTCAGTCTCCATTAGATTGCGAGCTCTTCTGCCCGGCATCCTGGGGGGGTCTCGGGTTCCTCACGCTCTCTCCTCAGTCTCCGTTAGATTGCGAGCTCTTCTGCCCGGCATCCTGGGGGGGGGGGGTCTCGGGTTCCTCACGCTCTCTCCTCAGTCTCCGTTAGATTGCGAGCTCTTCTGCCTGGCGTCCCGGGGGTCTCGGGTTCCTCAAGCTCTCACCTCCGTTAGATTGCGAGCCCTTCTGCCCGGTGTCCCAGGGGTCTCGGGTTCCTCGCGCTCTCACCTCTGTTAGATTGCAAGCTCTTCTGCCCAGCGTCCCAGGGGTCTCGGGTTCCTCACGCTCTCGCCTCAGTCTCCGTTAGATTGCAAGCTCTTCTGCCTGGCGTCCTGGGGATCTCGGGTTCCTCAAGCTCTCACCTCCGTTAGATTGCGAGCTCTTCTGCCCGGCGTCCCGGGGAGTCTCCAGTTCCTCGCGCTCTCACCTCTGTTAGATTGCAAGCTCTTCTGCCCAGCGTCCCAGGGGTCTCGGGTTCCTCACGCTCTCACCTTCCTCCGTTGGATTGCGAGCTCTTCTGCCCGGCGTCCCAGGGGTCTCGGGTTTCACGCTCTCACCTTCGTCTCCGTTGGATTGCGAGCTCTTCTGCCCGGCGTCCCAGGGGTCTCGGTTCCTCTAGCTCTCACTTCCGTTAGATTGCGAGCTCTTCTGCCCGGCGTCCCAGGGGTCTCCGGTTCCTTGCGCTCTCACCTCTGTTAGATTGCAAGCTCTTCTGCCCAGCGTCCCGGGGATCTCGGGTTCCTCAAGCTCTCACCTCTCTCTGTTAGATTGCAAGCTCTTTCTGCCCTGGGGCGTCCCAGGGGTCTCGGGTTCCTCATGCTCTCACCTCCATCTCTGTTAGATTGCAAGCTCTTCTGCTTGACATCCTGGGGGTCTCAGGTTCCTCATGCTCTCACCTCCGTCTCTGTTAGATTGCAAGCTCTTCTGCCCGGCCTCCCGGGGGTCTCGGGTTCCTCAAGCTCTCACCTCCGTTAGATTGCAAGCTCTTCTGCCCGGCTCCCGGGGGGTCTCGGGTTCCTCAAGCTCTCCTCAGTCTCCGTTAGATTGCAAGCTCTTCTGCCCGGCTCCCGGGGGTCTCGGGTTCCTCACCTCCGTTAGATTGCAAGCTCTTCTGCCCGCCTTCCCGGGGGTCTCGGGTTCCTCAATGGCTCTCACCTCCGTTAGATTGCAAGCTCTTCTGCCCGGCGTCCCGGGGAGTCTCGGGTTCCTCAAGCTCTCACCTCCATTAGATTGCAAGCTCTTCTGCCCCGTCCCAGGGGTCTCGGGTTCCTCGCGCTCTCACCTCAGTCTCCATTAGATTGCGAGCTCTTCTGCCCGGCATCCTGGGGGGGTCTCGGGTTCCTCACGCTCTCTCCTCAGTCTCCGTTAGATTGCGAGCTCTTCTGCCCGGCGTCCTGGGGGGGGTCTCGGGTTCCTCACGCTCTCTCCTCAGTCTCCGTTAGATTGCGAGCTCTTCTGCCTGGCCCGTCCCGGGGGTCTCGGGTTCCTCAAGCTCTCACCTCCGTTAGATTGCGAGCTCTTCTGCCCGGTGTCCCAGGGGTCTCGGGTTCCTCAAGCTCTCACCTCTGTTAGATTGCAAGCTCTTCTGCCCGGCGTCCCGGGGAGTCTCCAGTTCCTCGCGCTCTCACCTCTGTTAGATTGCAAGCTCTTCTGCCCAGCGTCCCAGGGGTCTCGGGTTCCTCACGCTCTCACCTCGTCTCCGTTGGATTGCGAGCTCTTCTGCCCGGCGTCCCAGGGGTCTCGGGTTCCTCAAGCTCTCACCTCCGTTAGATTGCGAGCTGCCCTTCTGCCCGGCTACGTTAGGCGAGCTCTTCTGCCGGTGTCCCAGGGGTCCCAAGGTCTCCCCCTTCAAGCTCCGGGGAGTCTCGGGTTCCTGCCTCTCACTCTCTGTTAGATTGCAAGGAGTCCGGGGGAGTCCGGTTCCTTGCGCTCTCATCTCTGTTAGATTGCAAGCTCTTCTGCCCAGCGTCCCAGCGTCCCAGGGGTCTCAGGGGTCTTCCTCACGCTCTCACCTCAGTCTCCGTTAGATTGCAAGCTCTTCTGCCCGGCGCCCTCGGGCGTCCCGGGGATGCCCCGGCGTCCTC